GGAATGCTTTTAGCTAACTATGGTGGTGTAAACTTTGTTTTGCTCCAAGGAATCAGTGTTGTTTGAAACAAACCTCTAGCAAATCCAAGACTTTGATGTTCCAGGCAAGGCTCATGGGAGAATGTACCAGTACTAATCCCCCTAATGTGTTCGTAACATGAATGTCAGAGGAAACTTTCTCTAGTATTCACTTTACTTCACCTTTGCTAGGCTCAAAGCTGAAGATAGACTGAACTGATAGTATGTAATCAAAACATTAGATGACCTAATCATTTCTTCTCAATTGCCCTTTAAACTTTCAGGTCTCTACAGATTTCCCTTTGGTATTCTCACATCTAGCTTGAGATTTCTACTTTAGTTTGAGAGCAGGCCAATACTTGTAAGAGACAAGGTTTTACTATTAACAGATGGAAGCACACCTCCCAGCAGAGGTCCAGACTGCAATGGCAGATGTCAGCTTGTCAAATACAGCTGGACTATCCCTTGCCAGAACTAGAAATACATGCCCAAGTGGAGTCACAGTGAACAGTCTACTTCTATCACCCTGTAGTGAGAACGCCAATTTTTACTTTTGTTAAAACCAGGGTGGGATATTATTCTATCAAAATATTGATGTTAGAATGGCTCCTAACAAAACCTAACCTAAACTTGTGGTTTGTTTCCAATTTACAGCATTACATATTTTTGTTGATTAAGAGCAAAATTATCTCCATTTGTCTTATGTCCTTTTGATTCAATGTTTAGGGATTGAGAAAGGAGTGGTAATGAATTTAGAGTAAGAGGGTTCTGACTCCTATAGTCCCTAATCAGACAACTGGTTTCTCATCAATGCCATTTCTCATGAATGAAGACAAAACAAGCAGAAGTTAATGGAGTTTATTAAAAGACCTATTCACAAAATTGAATGATAGAGCTGCAGAGCAGCTAATGACAACTGCATGGCAGTGAGAATGAAGTACAGTGGTTCAGACATGGCTCAGACAAAGGTTGTCCTCACAAGGATGTTCCTGCAAAAGGGAGAAAAAGGTTAACAAAATATACTTTAGTTAACATCCACTCAACGCTACAGGAAAACCTAGTTGCTCTACTGTTTGTGCTGACTACATAGTGTTGTTGGCTACTCAAAGCAATTGGAACACATCATGAAAAACTCATCTTTCTGGCTTTGAGTCAAAGTATAGCTTTGTTTACTTCAGGAACACATAGGGCACTTTTTTCACTTCATAAAAACTTACCTTTTAGCCATGAGCTTGGATAGATGTTTTTAAAAAGGGCTGATAAGTCTGCTGTAGCAGATTCCTCCCTAGAAAAGCAAATAACCTTCAGTACTAGTGAACACATCATGAAAAACTCATCTTTCTGGCTTTGAGTCAAAGTATAGCTTTGTTTACTTCAGGAACACATAGGGCACTTTTTTCACTTCATAAAAACTTACCTTTTAGCCATGAGCTTGGATAGATGTTTTTAAAAAGGGCTGATAAGTCTGCTGTAGCAGATTCCTCCCTAGAAAAGCAAATAACCTTCAGTACTAGTTCATTTCTGAGACCAAGTCCCATCTCAACTAACCCCCCCCCAACAGCCCACCCAACCCACCCACCATTTTGGGGAAGATTCTATTTCATTTCTTTGAGCCATTGTTTTGAGAAAATGGGTCAAAGGAAGGTCAATAGATAAAATTAAAGGGCAAATGATAATTCCAATTAATACTAATGTGTTTACTTCCTTAAATTGGAAGTCATCAACAGGGTATCAATATAAAATAATTAATCTCCAGAAAAACTAAGTTTAGCTTAACTGGACTCATTTTGGCTCAATATATTAAGAAAAAAGTTAACAGTAAACTGGATTTTCAGGTTAACTATTATGGATGTAAGTAAAATCTGTTCTTACCTACCAGCATAGCAATAAAACCTTTTCTCCTGGTTCTGACTGCTAGTCCTAAGAGTCAGGTGTGCCTTACTCTTGTCTGCCTCCTTCCTTTGCGATGGTCACTGAAACTTCACTCCCTCCTAGCTTTCATGGAGCGTGACGTGGCCTGCCCCTGGCTTATCTGTACTCCACATACCACAAGTGTCTACTCTCAGCTGTAGAGTGTCTGAGCTCGGAGCCATTCGCGCTATGCTTGCTAGCAGTTCCTAGTAGCTGAACATCTCTCCTGGATCTTTAAAGGCATTGTCACGAATCCTGAGGTATCTGCAAACTCCCTCAATAGTTAAGGTTCCACCTGCTATTGCAAACTCAGCCAATGTCATGGAACTAGTATCCATGCTTTCCCACCCACCACCCACTTTTTCACCCACCCTCCCCCCAAATCTCCACATAACACACCCATGGGATGGAATATACAGTCCTATTGATGAACAAATCTATGCTACCATAGGTACAATGGAATTGAAATTAAAGAGGGTACCAAAGGGAAGGCTCAAAAGCTGTGTACATGAAATCCATGTGGTGTTTTTCATAGTATTCATTTTCCATGAACTTCTTGAGCTAAATGAAAGAACCAGGTCGCCAAAGCCTACAGGTTTAACCACTACACTCTAGTTGCCTCAAAACCATGATAAATCTAACAGAGTAAAATATAGTATAGAGAAAAGACTGGAAAGAAATGCAACAAATTATTAAAGTTTCTGGATGGTGAAGTTTTTTCCCCTCTATTTCCCAATTTCTTTCTTTTCTTTTTTTTTTCCCATTCAAGATAATTAAATTGTTTATTGATTACACATGATAATGGAAGATACACAAGCTTCATTCCCATCTATTTTATCTGGTACCATTATTCAATTTAGATATATTGCATAGGATGTGCCAACAATCATTTTGTAATAACCAAATTGTGACTTTGCTTGGGTGAACCTCAGGCCACAATAACTGTCAGTTCAACTACACCAATGTTTCTGAAGACAACTGTCTTCTCCACCCAAGCAGGTAATAATGATTATTTAATTTCGAAATGGAACCTGGCACCACCCTGAAGGGATTCTAACTTCACACTGTTGGGAAGTTTACCAAGATGGCTTCAGAGTAGACTAACTTTACACAGCACATTTAAAAAAAAGACACATTTATTCAGCGTCATGATCAGACTATTACATTTAGCAATCAACAGCATGGGTGCAAAAAAAAAAATCTACATTAAAACCCTTTGTTGGAATGCTTTACACTTTCCACAGAACAGAAACTAAAATAACCTGTTATACAATTAGTCACAAATACAGTCCTCGTATTTTTTGCCCATACACATGAGTATTGTCTAAAACATGTCTTCTTTGTAGCAGCTAGGCCCTGCCACCACTGTGCTTGGCTGAGTTCACAAATCTGTTGTAACCTGTAGCTTCCCTGTCACTTCTCTGGCTCTCCTCTCCTGCTAAGCTTTGTTTCCTGTTGAACAATATGGAATAAAGTTGTTAATCTAAACATATTAAAACTCAAGGCTACAATCCAACAGCAAGTTGTTTCCCACAAATTTTGCTGATCTGAATATTAATATCCACAATTTTACTGCAATTATAAATGTTAACTATGTTGTACTGCTCAGCTACATTAGGGTTACAGGGTTCATCAACAATTATAAAAATTAAATAAACACACAAAAAAATGCTTACTTACCTGGCAGTTAATTAGAACCTTCTGCCACTGCCATAGCTACTGCTGCTGCTGGAACCGCCATAGCCACCTGAAAAGAACATTTCTTTTGAGCTTTGGTGCTTGTATTAACAGCAATGTTTTTGTATGAGATGTTCAAATAAAGTCAGAGCACTTAAGATTGTGCTTAATGACAAGAGATAAAGGTCCTATCTCAGTCTGATTGCAAATCATCACAAGATTTGTTTACACGTCAGTTTTCTGTTGCTCAGGCAGCACTTTAAAACTCCCTACCATGTTTAGTCCTTTATCACCCACTATGCACATGTACCATACCTTGATTTCGTGGTTTGGCAAAGTATTGGCCTCCACCTCCATAAGGGCCAGAGCTTCTGCCTCCAAAGTTGCCACCCTTCATGGGTCCAAAATTTGAAGACTGATTGTTGTAATTGCCAAAATCGTTGTAGCTTCCACCACCTCCAAAATTGCTTCCTAGGAATGGAAAGAAGGCCTTTGTTACATGGTAGTTCTGAATTTTGTTCATCGTTCAGAAAGATATTATTTGCCTGCCTTCCTCCCAAACTCTGGTGGTTCCAAATCTTGTATTCTTTGGGTAAGTCATTCAGTTGCATAGTCCAGTAGCTAACCCAACACACCAAGACACAATACTAATCTTTTGTTGTAGTGGCACTTACAAGTGCTCCACAGCCTTGAAGGCCAGGGCCACTGCAAATACAAGCTTCTTGCATCTATCAGCTAAGTGCCTATGGTCCCAAAGAAGTTCAGATACTAAAACCTGCCACAGTGCTCATCTAACTCAAATTGAAGACACCGCTATCTACTTATCCACTTATTTGGGAGTGAGGCGGCCCTAGCTTAAAGCTAGGAGGAGGTAGCATAGCAAGCCCACTTATTGTTAACAAACCATGCAGTACATCACACAATGCTTTAGGAGCTTCAAATCCCAAGAGGACATAAACTCTAAAAAGGCTAAACTAGCTATCACACCAAGCACTTGGATCACTGGATACCTACCACTACCACCGCCAAAGCCGCCTCCGCCTCCTCCGTTGTTATAGCTGTCATAGCTGCCACTCCCGCCATAGCCACTGCCCTGGTTTCCATAACCCTGTCCACCACTTCCATAGCCTCTGCTTCCTCCAGAGTAACCAGGGCCGCCTCCTCCATAACCACCTACAAGAATACAATTCTTCTCAATAAGACAAAAGTATATGACAATAAAATTCTGCAAGAGTAATGGCTAAAGACCTGCTCAAAGCATGCGTGTTATGGGCCAGGTTGAACTTGTCATGCACTAGAGTTTTAGTCTCTACCAGCCTATTCTAAGATACAAGTCACCAGAATTTTAATTTAAGTACATATTTCTTAAATAGAAAAACAAAAAAACAAAAACTTACCATCATTACCAAATCCATTATAGCCATCCCCACTTCCACCGTATCCGCCACCACCACGGCTGCCACCAAAGCCACCTGGAAAACAGTGAAGTTTTTAACTAGGTTTAAGGCACAAGAATGGCGCATAAATAGCACCTCGGAAACACTCCCTGTAAAAATGACTTGCACAAGAAAGAACTTTTGTTCAGTGGAAACCCAGAACTACATTTAGATAAAATGTAAAAACAGGTCAGAAGTTACAAACTAATACAGGTTACAAGACATAATCCACAGTAAATACTATAATCACCGACTACTTAGTAAGCCCTCGGTAACCATACATACCACGACCACTGAAGTTTCCTCCACGACCAAAGTTGTCATTACCACCAAAACCACCTCCTCGACCACCACCGAAGTTTCCAGAACCACTTCGACCTTAAAAGATTAAGTCAAGTTAAGGCTACATTGTTATTAATAACTCAAAGTTACTTTTGAGGTCTGAACAGAAGCAATAAACACACCTCTAGGGCTGGAGGAAGCACTAGCCATTTCTTGTTTGGACAGGGCTTTCCTTACTTCACAGTTGTGGCCATTCACAGTATGGTATTTCTGAACTATAAAGTTTTGAACATTAATAAAAAACATGTTAGAATTTTGCATACCACAACATGGGCTTCAGAACTACCAGTAAATGGCAATCATGTAAAACTTACTGACAATCTTATCCACAGAATCATGATCATCAAAGGTCACAAAAGCAAAGCCCCTCTTCTTGCCACTGCCACGGTCAGTCATGATTTCAATCACTTCGATTTTACCATACTGTTCAAAATAATCTCTTAGGTGATGTTCTTCAGTGTCTTCTTTAATGCCACCAACAAATATCTTTTTCACAGTTAAGTGGGCACCCGGTCTTTGAGAATCCTAACAGGAGAAAAACCACTTAAGTCACCTCTACCCATAAAACCTACCCCCCAAATCAAAACCGAGTTTATAACATTCCCAGATCTCAAGTCTACCAGCGGCAAAACTCCATGTTTTAGGTATCTGGGGGAAGGACCACCACTCACTTCTCTTGAGACAGCCCTCTTTGGTTCCACAACTCTTCCATCCACCTTGTGTGGCCTTGCATTCATGGCTGCATCTACCTCCTCCACAGTGGCATACGTGACAAACCCAAAGCCCCTGGAGCGCTTGGTGTTTGGATCTCGCATTACCTGAGAACAAGGTTAATTCGTTTAATACACAGCCTGATTTCCAAGCTACTTATTTTCACTTTGAGCAAGGCACTAAAAAACTATATTGCAACTATCTACAGGAAGACTTTCAGCTTTTCCCTATCCTTTATTTATTTAATTAAAGACATAGTTCCTAAACAGGTAACAAAGTTTCTTTCCCAAGTTGTTTCTCAATACGGTTATATTAACCTTCACAAACTTTCATATAAGACCAAAGCAAGATTAGCTAAGGAAATTCATCCGTCCTAGGGCCTTTTGTCCCTTCCAAATCTTACCACGCAGTCTGTGAGCGTTCCCCATTGCTCAAAATGGCTCCTCAGGCTCTCATCGGTTGTTTCAAAGCTCAACCCTCCAATAAAGAGTTTCCGCAGCTGCTCCGGCTCTTTGGGAGACTAGAGGGAGGGAAAAGCGTTAAGACGGGTTTATATTACATAACAGTTTCCATTTACGAGAGGCAAGATTAGACGGCAGTATACGTAGCTCTCATTGTTCGCTCAGAACCCAAAAAGCCACGTGCTTATCAAGAGAGACGGTATGTTGGGGGTTGGGAAGGCTCGGAAACCGCCAGCGCATGCGTCCCCACTCTCTTCCGACGCAAGCGCAACAAAAGGCCTTGGGCGGATGGGTGTACCGTCAATAAAGACCAATTGCTCTGTGAACAGGTCACCCGCCAAAAGAAAAAAAATCAAAAATAGATTTTATAGATGTCTACCGGTTTTACCATGATTAACGAACCCGACCCTTTCAACTAACAGTTGGGGAAACGCGGCCTCATGGCGACGACGAGGACAAAATGGCGACCTGAACTTTGGGAGGGGTAGGCCTTGGCAGCAACCGAAGGAACTGCCGAATGGTCTGATGCAAACAACAAAACTAGGCCACACTGTAAACTCAGGGAGACAAGCAGAGAATTAAGTAAGAAAGTGCGTCTAACTCACCTCGGACTTAGACATGACGGCAGTGAGAAGAGAGAGTTCAACGATGCTTCCCCGGCGGCGTCCACAGGCAGAAAGGAGTAATCTAACGAACGTATCTGCCAGCCTACCTTCGGCCTCGCTCTTTTATCCCGCCTCCTCGCTTTCGGCATTGGAAGACTCCGCCCCTTTCACGCTTTGATTGGATATTTGTAATCTCATCTTTCTACTATTGGCCTGTACTGCCTCACTGCTGTATAACGTCATGGGTTTGGGCGGTCTATGCAGTCCCCACCCCTTAGAGTCCATTGGTTCTCGCGTAATATTATTCTAAACCAATCTGATTGGCTAACTGGCCAATTATTCATATTTGAAAGTATCTAGGCCGATTAACTTTAACTTTAATCTTCCAGATCCAAATACTGCATTCAATTTGCATAGGTAACCATGACTAATGCCACGTACTGGAATTGTCGGCCCGTGGCAATTTCTTTTTCTTGCTATGTCTGCGGGTTGACCGCCTGTGTAGTAAAATGGCGAGTTTACGCAGGCGCATTAATAGGTTCCTGCCGCTTGGAGCACGTGAAATGGCGGGCGGGAGAGGGCGATGAACCTTCAGCGCATGCGTAGAGGCGGGAATAGGGTTCTGTTTTGCGCAGGCGTAATGGGCGGAGAAAGGGTTTGGTCCCAGGATTGGTTGCGCAGGCGCAGGGACGGATCCGTTTTGGCGGGCGGTTGGCGTTGCGCAGAAGGCGGTGGCAGCAGTGGCTTGTGGTGCGGCCTCACCACAGTGAAACAGGGCAGACGTTGCCGAGAGTGATCACTGTCGATCCCGGGTAAGTGGCAGACAGTCCTGTCTACCCATACGAGATCTTGAACCGACTCCAATTGGGTCCGTTATTGTGTAAAATGAATGAACCGCGGGGAGGGGGACGTCGAAGGGGCAGCGGTGGGTCGGGCCAACCAATAGGAGAACAGGGGCGGGATGTTTTATCCCTGTAGGTTCTTTGGAGCTGTGCTGCCGAACTGTTTGACTGGCGAATGAATAAGCCAATTGGGTCGGCCTTGAGCTGCAGACTGATCGGCCTTTGGGCCATCGGAATGTGGGAGGCGGGTTTTCCCCTCTTGAGCAGCATCTCACTGAACCAATGAACACGAAGCGCGCGGTAGGTTGGGCTTCTCCAGGAGGCACCGATTTGACTCCAATGGGGAAATGCAGGAGTCGAGCCGTTCAATGGATGGACCAAAACGAGACAGCAGGCGGAGAGCCTAAGGATAGCTCCTGGACAGGCCGTCCAATCGGCTCCAAAAGAGGAAGGTCTTAGATTTGGTATTGGGAAAGGGGATCTAATGCCGTGGATGTTTTATCTACAATGATTTCTCTTAAGGATGCTTTTAGACTTTCAGCCCATACAGCTCCTCCTAAGTTTGCTTCTTTATGCCTCGAATTTGGCATTTTCCCTCTACTTCCATACATTCTAACATCCACCTCGTTAAGTTTTGGTTAAGATCTTTTGAAAACTCGCTTTGTTGTGTATGAAGACTGTTAAAATAAATAGGATAAATCTCTGTACTGTTATGAAAAGGCATCTGAGAAAAACCTACATCATAATAACGCATATTTTTTAAATCGACAGATAGGTTGTAGGTCCATATAAATGGTTTTGGAAAGCTGCACACCAAAGTGTGTTACTTCTAGGGACGCAGTGGGATGAAGTGATTGGATATCTTATGTTTAAATCTGTGCAAGGATAATATTTTGTGATTAAAGTTAAATAAAAAATGATGTGAGTTGTTTTTGTGTTTCCAGTCTTAATTACATACTTCTTACTCCCCCTTTTCTTTTTTCCATTATCCACATCCCCAATACTTTATCCTTGTTTCTTTCTCTGAGGAACTTCCTTTCCCACATGCATCTCTTTCTTTACATCATCAAAAATATCCTTAGCCCCTGTTTTTAACGGTTCCTTTGAGAATGTCTGACTTTAATAAAGAGGAAGATAATATTTTAGGGTGTTGGGGGCAGGAGACCATCAGTCACCTGGATTAGTTAGTGTTTTTTGAATAGATTTTCTTAAGTATTTTGTGTCCTGAAGCTAATGTCCACTCTGTTTATTTCAGGATCTTTGGGAAGATATCCTTATAATAATTATAATAATTTTATTTACTCATTCATTTATTTTAATTTGACCAAAGAGAGACAGAGAGAAAGGGAGAAAGCAAGCCACCAGGTCTGGGACTCGACCATGGTCATCTTACTCCCCCTTTTCTTTTTTCCATTATCCACATCCCCAATACTTTATCCTTGTTTCTTTCTCTGAGGAACTTCCTTTCCCACATGCATCTCTTTCTTTACATCATCAAAAATATCCTTAGCCCCTGTTTTTAACGGTTCCTTTGAGAATGTCTGACTTTAATAAAGAGGAAGATAATATTTTAGGGTGTTGGGGGCAGGAGACCATCAGTCACCTGGATTAGTTAGTGTTTTTTGAATAGATTTTCTTAAGTATTTTGTGTCCTGAAGCTAATGTCCACTCTGTTTATTTCAGGATCTTTGGGAAGATATCCTTATAATAATTATAATAATTTTATTTACTCATTCATTTATTTTAATTTGACCAAAGAGAGACAGAGAGAAAGGGAGAAAGCAAGCCACCAGGTCTGGGACTCGACCATGGTCAGCCATGTGGGAGTGTCCAGCATCTTAGCCACTACGACACTTGTTGGCCCCAGTAGATCCATTTTCATTGCATACAGACTGAAGCAGAGTTTACTCTTTATTGTTTACTCATTTATTTAGGCTTGGAAAGTATATTTAAATACTGCAATAAAATCAACTGCATATTCAATACATTTAGTGCAGAAAACTTTTGGACTTTGTAAAACAAAGACAAATGATTTTAGTCAAGCCGGTAATGAACAGAGGAGAGATTTCCATGTTCTTTGGCACTTATAAAAGGATAAACTATTTTATGCTAATCATAGGAATACATTTAATACAGTTGCTGAGCTTCAAAGAGCTAAAGTAGTATAGGTTAAGGGTTTCTGTGTGTTCCAGATTTCGGTTTGAAAGGAATACAGTCAATCTGCAGCATTTTTTTTTTTTAAGAGTTATTTCATTGGGACCAGCAGATGGTATAGTGGCTCCATTGCTGGACTTGCATGTAGTCGACCACAGTTCAAGTCCCGGACTGGGTGGCTGAAACTCACACTGGGTGCATGTTTGTGTGTACCCAAGATCCTAGGAGGAGAATGGAGGAGAAGGGATTAATGTGTGGCCATCCCCCCAGGGGGTGATTTCTCGCTTCTCTCTGTCTCTGTCTTCCTGGCTAGCACACGTGCCCTATAGCAGAAAAACTTCTCCCCCCCCCAAAAAAAAAGAATTATTTTAAAAAATTTTATTGATTTTATTTTGATCAGAGGGAGATAGAGAGAGAGAGAGAGAGAGGGAAAGTGAGAAAGTAAGCTGCCAGGTCCTGGACTCAAACCGCAGTTGGTCATTTGGGAGTCCGGGCACCCTTAACCACCATGCCACCCGCCCTAATAGCATAGTTTCTTAAGCTCAGCGTTATTGATATTTTGGGCCAGATGATTCTTTGTTGGAGAAGGAAGCTGTCCTGTATTTCTGTACATTGTAGGATGTTTGCAGCAACCCTGGCCTCTACCCACTAGATAACAGTAGCATCTTAACCTCTTCCTGTGCCCACACTTGTGATAATCACTTTTAAAGTGTTCTGGGGCAGGGGTCAAAAATCTCCCTTTCTGGAAAATCAGTGACAAACAGTAACAGATGCTAAAGTTGATTATCTTTTTCAAAACCTATTTTACCAATTGACAGAGGCATGGGACAAGATGGATAAAGTGTTGGGAACCAGCAGTTAGCGTAATGGCTATGTCGCTGGACTCCCACGTAGTCGACCGCGGTGTCCCAGACCCGGTAGCTTAAAACTCACACCGGGCGCGTGTTCGTGCGTGCCCAAGATCCCGAGAGGAGAATGGAGGAGAAGGGATTGCGGCGTGACCATCCCCCCTGGGGGGTGATTTCTCGCTTTCTGTCTCTATGTCTCTCTCTGTCTGTCTGGTGAGCGCACGCGCCCTACAGTGAAAAATCTCCCCCCCCCCCAAAAAAAAAAAAAAGATGGATAAAGTGTTTTAGGAGTGGCCTTTGGTAAATGGATCATTAAATCCTAATTATTTAGATCATTGTTCCTTTAGATAAAACAAAAGCTTCATTTAAGTCTTTAACCATTTTTTGCACCTTTTTTTCTTTTTCTTTTTTTTTTTTAGATTTTTGCTGTAGGGCACATATGCTTACTGGAGAGAAAAGGAGAGTCAGAAACAGAAAGTGAGAAATCATCCCCCCAGGGGAGATAGCCACATCACAATCCCTTCTCCATTCTCCTCTCAGGATTTTGGGCATGCACGCATACATGTCCAGTGTGAGTTTAAGCCACCAGGTCCGGGACTTGAACCACAGTCAACTACGTGGAGTCCAGTGATGTTAACATTAACACCATCTGCTGGTCCCCATTTTTAAAAATTGTTCAAATGAGTTTTTCTTTATTCACGGTAGAGATCATGGGCACACATGAGAGAAAAAGCACCCTTCACACAGTCTGGTCACACCACGATTCCCTTCCTTCAGTCTAGTCTTCCAGTACTTCAGATCTTGGGCACTTAGGTGTGTGCCTGGCATGTTTCAGTCTAACTGGGCAGGAATTCTTTATCGCCATGTGGTGTGTGGCTTTTCTTCAGCAGCAAATTACTGTGCTATCCCAAGATCTGTATCATTTGCTCCTTAAATGTAGAATTGAACACATATTATTGCTTCCTGATATTACAGCCAATATGTTTTTGATTTGCCTTTGGTGTTTCTTACATGTTTCACTCCCTAGGTTTGTTTTGGATCACTGTCTCAAACTCTTTTTGATTTTGACCCTCAGTAAGAAATGTATTTTATGTTGTCCTATATACACAGTGAAACAAGTTTCACTAAAGAAACAAATGCTCAAACCACTCTGATACATTTTCTCATCTATAGTGAACTGTTCAGTTCTCTTTAAAAAGTAGGTTAGTTTCCACTAAACTGTTTGGCTTCACAGTTTCTTAAAGACCCAGTTTGGGTGGCAGGGACTGGGGGGAGACAACACTGATCTGAAAAATAGATAACCAAATAAATGGTGTCCCTTTAGATTGCTCTTTTAGTAGATTTCTCTCATCTCTAACTTGGGCTACTTGAATTTCTCAACAGATTAATCAGGAACTCATTTTTTCCCAGTATTTTCTTTTATTCATGCTAGAGCATGTACATGTGAGATAGAGACAAGAGCATCCTCCAGGTCCTAGTCACACCACTATCCCATTTCTGTAGTGTTCATGTCATTGAATCTTGGGCGCTCATGCGGGTACCCTGTGTTTGGGCGCTCATGCGGTGACCCTGTGTGTTTCCTGCTGACCCGGCTGTAGATCCAAACCATGGTCGGTCACCATGTATGATCCACTTTCTCTTGAGTGATTCATTATAGCTGTGCCATGGAGATATAGGTCTCTTTTTATTTGGTATTTTTACTGATATATTTTACTTTGGAAGATTCTAGGGCATGAACAGAGACTTCCTGGTTTACTGTGATGGGCAAGTTAAAGGTTTTTTTGTGTGTGTGTGTGAAATCTTTCCCCCTTTTTTGGAGAGGTTTTTGCTATAGGGTGTGTGCGCTCACCAGAAAGAGACAGAGAGACAGAAAGTGAGAAATCACCCCCTGGGGGGATGGCCACACCGCAATCTCTTCTCCCTTCTCCTTTTGGGATCTTGGGCATGCACACACACACTCACCCAGCGTGAGTTTAAGCCACTGGGTCTGGGACTCGAACCACGGTCGACTACATGGGACTCCAGCGACATAGCCATTATGCCAGCTGCTGGTCTCAATGAAACCTCTTTAAAAAAAAAATACATTTATTTAATTCCATTTGTTTTTATTTATTTATTTTTAAGAATGATTTTTATTTAGCTTTGTTTATTTTAACTTGACCACAGAGGGACAGAGTGAGAAAGAGGAAAACTGAGAAGGCAAGCCACCAGGTCCAGGACTCAAACCGCATTCAGCCATGTGGGAGTCCAGCGCCCTTAAACACTATGCCACCTGGTGTCCTGTTATTATTAGTCTCAATGAAACCTCTTTAAAAAAAAAATACATTTATTTAATTCCATTTGTTTTTATTTATTTATTTTTAAGAATGATTTTTATTTAGCTTTGTTTATTTTAACTTGACCACAGAGGGACAGAGTGAGAAAGAGGAAAACTGAGAAGGCAAGCCACCAGGTCCAGGACTCAAACCGCATTCAGCCATGTGGGAGTCCAGCGCCCTTAAACACTATGCCACCTGGTGTCCTGTTATTATTAATTTTTAATTTGGCCAGACAGACAGAGAGAGAGAAGGGGAAAGTGAGAAAGCAAGCTGCCAGGTCTGGGCACTCAATCAGCCATGTGGAAATCCAATACTCTTAACCACCACACCACCTGCCCACCCCTATGAAAGTCTCTTAAAATATGGTAGTTGATGTGTATGATGAGCGTTTTACTTTGGTAGGGAAATTTTAGTGGGTATATTTTTTTTTGTGAGAGATTCTTGCTATAGGACACATGCACTCGCTGGAGAACCGAGAGAAAAAGTGAGAAATCACTCCCCAGAAAGGATGGCTGTACAGCAATCCCTTTTCCATTTTCCTCTCAAGATTTTCGCTTGCTTGCTTACATATGCCCCTGTTACTAGTTTTAGGCCTCCAGGTCTGGGACTCAAACCACAGTCGGCCATATGGGAGTCCAGTGCCTTAACCAATACACTCCCATGCTGGCACAGGGGGTAATTTTTTGTTGAAATTTCGGGACTATCACTGAAACTTTTATCATTAGACTTATTATTTTGCCTTTGAAAAACCTCTTTTGGTTATCTTGTACCACCCTTGATAACACGGTGTTGAGCCTCTGTTAACAAAAGTTAGAGCTCTTTGGCTTAAAACTTAGAGTTAGGTCCTGCTTGTGGTGTGATTAAGACAGCTAGATCCCACATGGTCAATAGTGCAGGGTTTTTTTGTTTGTTTGTTTGTTTTTTTAAGAATTACTTTATTTGACTTTTATTCACTTATTTAAATTTTTTTACCAGAAAAAAAAGTGAGAAAGCAAGCTGCCAGGTCCAGGACTTGAACTGTGATCATCCACGTGGGAGTCCAGTGTCCTTAACCACTACACCACCTGCCTGCCCTAGCAATGTGGTTTGAATCTCAGACCGACAGCTTGAGAAACTCACTGGACTTGTGTGTGTGCATATCAAAAATCTTGAAAAGAGGGAGAAATGGAGGAGGAGGGATTGTGGCATGACAGTTCCCTATGTGGTTGCTTTCTCATTTTCCATCATGCTTTTCTTTTTAAAAGAATTGTTTTATTTCACTATTTATTTATTTATTTATTTAAATTTGACCAGAAAGGGAAGGAGTGAGAACGAGAGAAAGTGAGAAAGCAAGCAGCTGGTCCCATACTTTCCATCACTCTTTCTCTATCACTCTCCACAAGTGCCCATATCCTTTGGCAAAGTTTTTTTTTTTTGGAAGAGGTTTTTGCTATAGGGTGTGTGCGCGAGACAAACAGAAAGCGAGAAATCACCCCCTCCAGAGGGGATGACCACGCCGCAATTCCTTCTCCTCCATTCTCTTCTCGGGATCTTAGGCACGCACGCACACACGCCAGGTGTGAGTTTAAGCCACCAGGTCTGCGATAAACTACATGGGAGTCCAGTGACATAGCCATTACGCCAACTGCTGGTTCCATGGCAAAATTTTAAAAAGATAATTTAGAGGCATACTCTTCACAACCAAATCTAAAAAGATTGTTCACCATATCACTGGACTGTGAAAAATATGAGGAAAGCTATTTGAGTAGGATGGGTAGGATGATAGTTGGGAAAAGAAAAAGCATACACCTGAAGTGACTGGGTTTTCTTTCTCTCTCTCTCTCTCTCTTATTTTTTTATTAAAGGTTCTTGCCATAGGGCACATATATTCTCTGGAGAGAGAGAGTGAGAAGAAAAGTGAGAAATCACTCCCCAGGGGTTATGGCCATACCACAATCCCTTCTCTATTCTGGAGTTTTGGCGATACACCCACATGTGCCTGCTGCACACATCCCCGCTGTGATTTTTATGCCTCCAGGTTCGGGACTCAAGCCTCAGTCAGCCATTTGGGAGTCCACTATTTTAACAATCACACTACCTGCTAGTCAATGAGTGGACTTTTAAATCTCTAGGAAAATTCTGGGGATTCTCAGAGCCCTTAGTACACTAGAAAATACAGGTAGATTGGGGATCCATGGGGCAATCTGAAGATTAGTAAGGTTTTTTCTTTCTTTCTTTTTTTTTTTTTTTAAGAATTATTTAATTTTGGGGGTTGATAGGTGTCTTGGTGGTTAGGGGTGCTTAACTCCCACATGGCCAATCACGGTTTGAGTCCTGGATCTGGCATCTTGCTTTCTCACTTTTCCTTTCTGTCTCTCTGTTCTTTGGTCAAATAAAATAAATAAATAAATACATAAATAAAACAAAGTTTATTGAAATAATCTTTTAGGAAAATTTATTATTGGGACCAGCAGTTAGTGTAATGGCTATGTCGCTGGACTCCCATGTAGTCGACCGTGGTTCGTGTCCCGGACCCGGTGGCTTAAAATCCACGCCAGGCGCATGTGGGTGCGTGCCCAAGATCCCGAGAGGAGAATGAAGGAGAAGGGATTGCGGCATGGCCGTCCCCTCTGGGGGGTGATTTCTCGCTTTCTGTCTCTCTCTTTCTGTCTGGCGAGTGCACGCGCCCTATAGTGAAAAACCTCTCAAAAAAAAAAAAAGAAAAAGGAATTATTTAATTTTATTCATTGTTATTATTCCTTAATTTGCTACAGGGCACATGCTCTCACCAGAGAGAGAAGTGAGAAAACCGGCCACCAGACTGGGGACTCAGACCATGGTCAGCCATATGAGAGTCTAGCATCCCAACCACTATACCACTTGCTGAGTCCATGAGGTGGTTTTTTATTTCTAAGTATCTTTATGACTTTTATGAGAAAACAGAAAGACAGGCAACCTGAATAAAGTGTCACTCTGCAGTCCTCCCACCAGTCTTTTCCAGCCAGCTGGGATCATGGGCATCACCTCGTGTACAGGTCAGCCAAGGAACTGAACCCTGAACTTCCATATAGCTTCCAGCTCTGCAGAATTGTGCTACTGCTAAGCCATCACAGTTGGGCCCTTTTTTTTATTGCTTCTGTTGAGGTATTTTATGTAAATGCATAGCATGATTCCCACATCTTATTGGGATAATCTATTTAATTACTGTTCCTAGTAAAGCAATTTTTGGCTTATATTCTGTCCTTTGACTTGGTCCTTTTTTAGAAGGAGGTTTTGCCCTTAGGGTGGGTGTGTTTCCTGGAGAGAGAGAGAGACAGAGATAGGCAGTGAGAGGGAAAGTGAGAAATCACCCATCAGGGAGGATGACCACGCGATTCCTTCTCCATTCTCTTCCTGGGATTTTGGGCGTGCGTGTGCACCTGTCATGAGATTCAAGCCCCACTGGGTCTGGGACTCAAACTGCGGTTGACCTTGTTGCAATCCAGCAATGTACATGCCATTTGCTGATCCCTTACTTGGTCCGTTTTATATTGATTCACTTCAGCATAAAGTTAAACCTAAAGTTGTGCTATAGATACTGATTTGAAAAGTAGTCACTTCCAGTGGAAGATACCATTTGACTTAGGATAGCTTTTTACCCTTTGTTATTCATGAACTTACCTTTTTTCCCTTGACATAAACTTGGATTTTTCTTTCTTGCTTGTAAGAGAAAACGTACATTGCTCTTTGTACTAACAGGAAGGACTTCAGGTTATCTTGAGAATAGCTGACTTGTGTAGGGTCCAAAATGCAGTTATGCTGAATTTCTGTAAGCCATTTGAAGCCACATATTCATTTCTGATGACAACTTTACACTTGTGCTGGCAGAACACCCACAGAGACAACTGCTGGCTATGTTTAGTCTGTCCAGGAGCTCTACCAGCTAGCATGTTTGTGGAAAAACCTACACTCTTCTTGTTAGCAGCTATGTAAATATTACACCTTTCTGAGTTTGTCTTCTCAGGTCTGCCCTATTATATTTGGGCAATTATATCCTGTGGTTGCCGCAGTTTACCTTTTGAAGTGAGGGATTAAGAGGTTTTAGACATTCATTGGGTTACATAAGCATAATTCTTTTGGGATCAGTAAATAGTTTTATGTATGTCCAGTTTATGTAAAAATTTATTTCCCCCATATTTCAGCTTCCTGCGGCTGCTGTAACAAATAACCCTGGACTTGTGATGTAAAACAACGCGAATTTATTCTTCTCGCAGTTCTGGAGGCCAGAAGTCTGCAATCAAGGTGTTGAGCCACCTCTGGAGGCTCTACAGGAGAGTCTTTTCCTTGCCTCTGGCAGCTTCTATTGGTAGTCAGCATTCCTTGGCTTATGGTCTCCTTTCTCTCTCTTTGTTCTGTTTCTCTATGTATTTTTCTTGGATTCCTGTCTTTCTCTTGCTAAGGATACATGTGAGTACATTTAATGCCCACCCAAATGACCCTAGATCAATTTCTTCTCTCATTTCTTTTTGTTTATTTCTTCTGAGAGAGACAGAAATTCCAAACAGTATCTATGCTGTGATTCACTATCAGTCTCAGCCAGATAGAATCATGAATGCACCAAGGGTGCTCAAGGATGTCTTACAACACAAACCTAAGACCTTTTTTTTTTTAAGTTTTTTTTTTTTTTTTTTTAAGTTTTTTTTGCCATAGGCTGTGTGTACTTGTTGGGGAGAAAGAGAAAGTGATAAATCCCTCTTCTCCCTTGGGGGGATGACCATGCTATAATCCTTACTCCTCCATTCTCCTATTGGGATTTTGGGCATACATGCACACATGCCTGGCATGATTTTTAAGCTGCTGGGTCTGGGGCTTGAATCATAGTCAGCTGTGTGAGAGTCTAGTGCTTGAACACTATGCTGCTTACGGTTTTTTTGTTTTGTTTTGTTTTTTTGTTTTTGAGAGGTTTTTGCTATAGGGCGCGTGCGCTCACCAGAAAGACAGAGAGATAGAAAGCAAGAAATCACCCCCCAAGGGGGATGGCCACGCCGCAGTCCCTTCTCCTCCATTCTCCTCTCAGGATCTTGGGCAGGCACGCATGCACACACATACGCCCGGAGTGTGTTTAAGCCACCGAGTCCGGGACTTGAACTGCGGTCGACTACATAGGAGTTCAGCAACATAGCCATTACGCTAACTGCTGGTCCCATGTTTTTTGGTTTAAGTTTGGTAGAGAAGCTATGTACTTGCTGGAGAGACGAAGTGAGAAGTCACTTTCCAGAAGGATAGCCACATCACAGTCCCTTCTTTTCCATACACCTCTTAGGGTTTTGGTTATTTAACCACACGTACCCAGTGTGATTTTTCAGGACTGGGTCCAGGACTAGAACTGTGTAATCGGCCATATAGGATCCAATCATCTTAACCTCCATGCTACCTGCTGGTTCTAAAATAGGTTATTTTTTAAAAATGAAACAAAGACAAATGACAAGGGACTCGGAAACCTTGTATTCTATTTCCTCCAGTAATAAGTGGTATAACCATGGGTGTGCCATTTATCCTCATTGGTTCTTAGTTTCTTCATCTTCTGTGGAAGAAATTGGGTAAGTTTCTTCCCAATTTCTAATAGCCATAGCCTTCTGGACCTAATACTTTGATTAAGTGACTCCTGACTCCTAAGTCATCTTTGGAGTTCCTTTTTTTTTTGGACGGGGTTGGGGGCGGTTAGGGAGCATGTGCTTGCCAGGGAGAGAGAAAGTGAGAAAACCATGATTCTTGAGGGTGGCCATACTATGATCTCCTCTCCATTTCTCCTTTCAGGATTTTGGAGCACACACACATGCCTGACATGTTTTTCAAGCCAATGTATCTAGGACTCAGACCGTGCAGTATGCCCTGTGGGATCCAGCTACCACACCACAGGCCTAGTAGTCGGTCTTTTTTGGTTGTTGTTTTCTTTTGTTTTTAGTTTTTGCTATAGAGTATGTATATATGTGGGGTGGGGAGTGAAAGTGAGAATGCACTCCCTGGGAGGTGATCACATCACAGTCCCTTCTCTTTTGGAATTTTTGGGCATGCATACACACATGCTTATGTTTTTCAAGCCATTGGGTCCAGGACTCAAACCACACAGTTGACCATGTGGAATCTAGCTGCCTTAATCATCTTGCCAGTGGCTGGCCTGGAGTTGCATTCTTAAGTCAATAATTTTGAATGCAAATCAATAGCTTAACATTGTGGGCCACTGAATCCTATGATGGTCTTGCCTTAGGACTTGAAGACTGAATTGCTTGTCGATTGTCAATTCCTTAGGACATTGACCTAGGGTAACAAACCTATAATTGTTTACTATGTGTTTAAACCTTTTTGAAGAAAAGATTTTCTATAAAAGCCTTAATGAAATAGTTGGACAATTTTCACTCTCAGACTATAAACTGTGTAGTCTGGATTTCCTTTCCAGTAAGAGTAGTTCATCAAATTTAAATACTGGCAGATTTTTCTACCTTAAACTAGGCCATGGACAGAGTAAAATATCCATACACAATGTTAATCTTTAGCCTTACTGAAAGCATGTTCGATTATATCTCATTGCTAGCAATCATGAAATTGAAATGGTGGCATACTTGAAAGGACTGTTTAAAGATTATGTTTTATAACACACTCATTATTTATTTCCTTCATGGCAAGGAAGAACCAAATTAAATTCAAGTATTTCTTTTGATTGTAATCTACATTTCTTAGACTAAAACAAGTTTATATGTGAGACAGCAGACTTAATTATGTTGGAATAAAATGCCCTGTGCTAAAAAGAGGTCAACTCACAGGCTGGGATATCTTAAGCTTGGTTTCTGAGGCAAGTCCTTGAACTCCCTGTGCCTTGTTTCTCATCCCTAAATCAGTAAGACTCACCTCCCAGGGAGTCGTGGAGGGTAATGTACTGCTAATTTGTTCAGTATTTCACAACAATAAATTATGTCTAGCATCAGATAAAACATAGGCAGACCTCATTTATATGAGTAGTTGGAGACAAGCATAGATAAAGCAGATAACTCAGAAAATTCTTTTAAAGTCATTTTTTAACTTCCTCTATTATGATTTTACCTTCTGTTTCCTGTATGTTTTCTGAAGGGTTTTCTTGTTCTTTTTCATAACATACCTATGAGATAGGTAAGGGAAATAACTAACACCAGGTTACATATTAGAGCAACCAACTCATCAAGGGGTCATAACAGTCTCGGCCGCTGTGGTGCAGTGGTAAAACAAGTGCCCTGCAAGGCTAGGAGCCATGTGGTGACTGCAGATTTGGATTTCCCAGACAGCATGAAAACACAGGGTGCAGCTTCCTAAACTCCTCAGATGATGGAGGAGTGGGGAAAGGGGATTGTGGAATGAAAAGACCCTTTTGAGGGTAATCCCCTCCTCCATCATCTCTCTATTCTCTATCATAAGGGGAAAAAACAGGATATAACAATGCTGTATGTTTATATAGCTCATAATAAAGCTTCAAAAGAAATGAAGCAAAAAGAGAAAAATAGAAGAAGTAATGGGGATCTAAAATTATATTTGGGAGACCAGCAGATGGTATAATGGTCACATCACTGAACTGCCATGTAGTCGACCACGGTTCAAGTCTTGGACCTGGCAGCTTAAAACTCATGCCAGGCGCGTATGTGTGCATGCCAAAAATCATGAAAAGAAAATGGAGAGGGGATTGCAGTATGATTTCTTGCTTTCTGTCTCTGACAAGTGCACATGCCCTGTAGCACAAATTTCTCTTTAAAAAAATTGTATTTCGACATGTCAGTACCTCTTAGTAATTTATAAAACAAGCAAACTAGAAATCAGAAAACAGAAGACTTAACCATCACTTCAAAAAACCTCATACAGGACCAGCAGGTGGTGTAATGGCTATGTTGCTGGACTCCCATGTAGTCAACTGTGGTTCAAGTCCCAGACGCGGTGGCTTAAACTCACACTGAGCACATGTGCCTTAAACTCACACTGAGCACATGTGCGTGCGTGCTCAAGATCCTGAAAGGAGAATGGAGGAGAAGGGATTGCGACGTGACCATCTTCCCTGGGAGGTGATTTCTCGCTTTCCGTCTCGCCGTCTCTGTCTTTCTGGTGAGCACACACGCCCTATAGCAAAAAGAACCTCTCCCCCTCAAAAAAAAAATCTGATACATGGGGAATGAAAAATAGTGGATTTTGAATTTTTGTTGCACCAAATGAACTTGTAATTTAATTTCATTTTCAATGAAACTTTTGTAAGTCCCTTTGCACTTGACATTTCTAGACCAGTCCTCACAACAGCAGCAGAACACACATGGGATCATCTTCCCAGAAAGATCATCTTCTAGGTGATAAAACAAGTTTCAAAAGGACTGCATCATATAAACTATGTTTTCTGGGCACAGTGCAATTAAATTAAAAATCAGTAACAGGACTGACTTTGTAGCACAGCAGTTAAGTGCTGTGCATAAGAAACCAGATCCCACATAGCCAACCGCAGTTTGTATCCCTGCCCAGGCAGCTTAGAAAACACTAGAGGCATTGTATTTATGTTCTTTAAATCTCAACAGGATTGAGACAAGGAGTCACAAGAGATTGTGGCATGACCATGTCCCGTTGGGGGTGCTTTTTCTCTTTGGTGAGTGCACACACCTGGCAATGAAAAAAATTATAATAACAAAGCCACCTGGAAAACTCTCAGATACTTAAAAGCTACACAACACATTTTTTTTTTAAGGACTATTTATTTAACTTTATTTATTACTTTTTAATTTGACCAGGAAAAGAGAAAGGGAAAGTAAGGAAGCAGGCCACCAGGTCTGGGACCAGAACCACAGTTGGCTGTATAGGATTTCGGTGCCTTAACCACAATGGTACCTGCTAGCCCCCAAAACACAATTCTCTCTTTTTTAAATGATTATTTTATTGAGACCAGCAGATGACATAATAGTTATGTCACTGGATTCACATGTAGTCAACCGCAGTTCAAGTCCCAGACCTGGTGGCTTAAAGGTCACACCAGGTGCATGTCCAAGATCCTGAGAGGTGAGGAGAGGGTATTGCAGCATGACCATCCCCCGGGGGAATGATTTCTTGCTTTCTTTCTCCCTGTTACTCTGTATAGGGTGTACATGCCCTATAGCAAAAACCTCTGTAAGGGGAAAAAAAAAATATTTAACTTTCTTTAATTTGACCAGTGAGGGACAGAATGAAAACAAGTCACCAGGTCTGGAACTTGAACCACAGTTGGCCATGGGGAGTCCGGTGCCCCTAACCACCACTCCACCTGCTGGCCCGTACATAACACAATTCTAAGTAACTCATGGGTTAGGAAATATTTTGAACTGAATCAAAATG